ATGTCCAATAGGGATGTTAAGTTCCCTGCTCACTTTTGGAGAATCTTGTGGAAGAAAATTGGTACCAATTTGAATTTTAGCAATACTTTTCATCCTCAAACCGATGGCCAAGTAGAGGTGGTAAATCGAAGTCTTGGCAACTTGTTGAGGTGTCTTGTGGGAGATAATCCCAAGAGTTGGGATGGCATTCTTCCCTTAGCCGAGTTTGCATACAACTCGTCACTCAATAGCACCATTAACACTTCTTCCTTTGAAGTGGTTTATGGGATGAAGCCTTCAAGTGTTGTGGACTTGGTTTCTTTGCCCATTTCAAGGAAGGGAAGCGTTAAAGCAGAGGGGCTGACTGTTTTCATGATGAATGTTCATGCTCAAATTAAATCCCAAATTGAAAAGTCCAATGCCAAATTCAAATCGGCTGTTGATGTACATAAAAAGGAAAGTGTGATTTGAAGTGGGGGATCTTGTTTCAGTTATGTTGAGCAAGGAAACGTATCCTCAAGGTTCTTGCACAAATGTGTTCATTTCTTTTGCATTGGTTGTACTTTGTTTTCGTCTTCAGTTGAGGACAAGTTATTTTGAGTGGGAGAGATTGATGTAGGACATGTGCCTAACATGTAATGTTTAGTTTGGGTTGTTGGTTGGTAGCCTATATCTAGTGAATTAGAGATCAATTGTAACTAACTTTGATATGTGCTAATTGATTGATTGATATTCTCTTTAGAACCTTAGGGTTCCTCTCTCTTTAAATTTTCTCTTGTTCTTGGGTCCCATCATAGACTCCGGGCCTGCAAAGATGATCTTGATGAAATGTTGATACATTATTATGTTTGGATTATGGAGAGCAAGGACAAATTTGAAAGGCTTGGGCACCATGTGTATTTCAACAATTGATGGAAATGTATTTAGCTAACATAGAATACTCTTATGAGGTCTAGGCAATGCAATCCATAAGCAAATCAAGAATCAAATTGAGAAAGAGAACACAAATGCCCCATTTAGGGTAAAACCCCTAAGGCTAGAGAGAGAAACCAAGCTCAACTTTATTCACAATGTATATTCTTTAATCAAAAGCCAAGTACAATGAGTATTACATCACCTATTTATAGACTACTACTAATAGGCTATTTGGCATATACTTAACCTATACTTAACCTATTTATTCTACTACATCAGACATAAGCAAATCAAGAATCAAATTGAGAGAGTGAACACAAATGCCCCAATTAGGGGTAAAACCCCCAAGGGCTAGAGAGAGAAACAAGCTCAACTCTATTCACAATGTATATTCTTTAATCAAAAGCCAAGTACAATGAGTATTACATCACCTATTTATAGACTACTACTAATAAGCTATTTGGCATATACTTAACCTATACTTAACCTATTTATTCTACTACATCAGACATAAGCAAATCAAGAATCAAATTGAGAGAGTGAACACAAATGCCCCAATTAGGGGTAAAACCCCCAAGGGCTAGAGAGAGAAACAAGCTCAACTCTATTCACAATGTATATTCTTTAATCAAAAGCCAAGTACAATGAGTATTACATCACCTATTTATAGACTACTACTAATAAGCTATTTGGCATATACTTAACCTATACTTAACCTATTTATTCTACTACATCAGACATAAGCAAATCAAGAATCAAATTGAGAGAGTGAACACAAATGCCCCAATTAGGGGTAAAACCCCCAAGGGCTAGAGAGAGAAACAAGCTCAACTCTATTCACAATGTATATTCTTTAATCAAAAGCCAAGTACAATGAGTATTACATCACCTATTTATAGACTACTACTAATAAGCTATTTGGCATATACTTAACCTATACTTAACCTATTTATTCTACTACATCAGACATAAGCAAATCAAGAATCAAATTGAGAGAGTGAACACAAATGCCCCAATTAGGGGTAAAACCCCCAAGGGCTAGAGAGAGAAACAAGCTCAACTCTATTCACAATGTATATTCTTTAATCAAAAGCCAAGTACAATGAGTATTATGTCACCTATTTATAGACTACACTAATAGGCTATTTAACATATACCTAACCTATTTATTCTACTACATCAGACTCTCCTGTTTAAGAAACTTGTCCTCAAGTTTAAGTAGCAACTAATTGAGCTCAATGTAGGTGAGGAATAGGCGTTGCATCTCATCTCCATACTCAACACAAACATCGCTCTCACAACTCCTCTTTCCTTGAATACCTGGAATTGCATATCCTTAGCTAAACAACCATAGGTGCAAATTGGCATTCCCCATCATGCCTATGCCATACCTTCTTGCCATAGCTTGGACAAACCTCCATTTTCCCGAGCCCTGCATCTCTGTTCAGCACACTGTTGCAAAGATGTACTCATTCGGTCGGATCAATAGACTAGCAAACAGATAGCTTCCAAAGCAAGGTTGAGGAATGTGACAAAAGATGAAAGGATCCACTATGCATCCACTAGAAAGAACCACATGAGAGAAGCTAGTTAGGAGCGAGAATTCTACATTACAGCATGTCCTGTCCCTTTAGACACAATAGTCAAATGAGCATCAACACCTGCAGTGTACTCAACTCAAGCCAACATCTTATAGAGGCATACAGAAGCAAGAAACACACACATAGAGCTTCAAAGACTGTCTAAAACAATATTTGTTTGCTTAATCTCAACTTGCTGATTATGAGTTTGATTGGGATTTGCATCATTGCTCCTTCCATGTGAGGGAATCATCACAGTATCTTCACCTAATATTTGCAACAGACCCTCTATTTCGGCCACCCCTACAACCCCGATCTTCGATGAGCCAATGATACAAACAATAGACAAAAGTGTATTGTATTGCCTCAGGTCATGTTTAATCCAAGGAACCTTAAACTCACTCATTGAGTCAAATTTATGCAAAAACAACAAATCAGAATGCTTCTTTGATTTCAAATTCAAGAGTCATGATCTTGCAGCGAAAGATGAGGACCTAAACCGCAACTGATTCAAAGTGTAGATCATCAGAAGGAGGATTATCATGAAGAAGAATCATATTTGAGATGTGGTCAGCACTATCGGAGAATTCAAAGTCGAGATCAAGCTTTAGATGACTTAGTCGGAGAATATCAAGTTGGAATCGCACATTGGAGCTCTTGGTGACTAAATTGAAATCGCCAAGCTGACTGTAATGAAGAACCCCAAGTAATTGCAATGTGAGATCAACTGAGAAAATGCAACACAAAATCTAGATCAAAGTTGCGAAAGGAAATCTAGGGATTTGAATCTGATTTCTTGACCGCAAGAGAAGAAACCAAACCTTTGAACTAGAGAGTCAACCTAGGGACAACCAGAACACTGAGCACTGAGATCGCAAATCATGATTATGTGAAGGGTACCCAACTTGCGAAATGAAATTGAGATGATTCGAGTCAAATCTTGATTGAAATCATGTTGCAAAGTTGACATCATTGCGAAACGGGGGGTGCGAAGCGAAACAGGTGGTGCAAAGTCGACTTGTGTTTGTGATGGGCTTGCATGGGTTGTGACAGTCAGATTGCAACATTCGACATTCTAGAGCACTAATCGTGTTTGCAATCGAGATGAACACTTGTCGAAGGAAGAATAGGATCAAAGAGCAATGAGCCAAGTGCTATGACTGAAATTCTTCGTGGGTCAATCAAACCAGGCTAGTTTTTGGATGATGATTCCTGAAAACTGGAGTGCAACACACTAAGGCACATGAAGCTACGAATTCCTTTGGATACGCGAGTTCAGATCTTCAACCTGGAGTTTGATTTGAGTTTAGATCTTGGCAAGAACAATTGAATCGAGATCGCAACTCAACTATATGGTCAGATTGAAGTCGATCTAGAGTCACATTGCTTCCAGATCTGGTATTCAAATTGAGTTTTTGAATCTCATCCAAGACCTTCGATTCGAGTTCAGATTGCATCTAGGGTTTCAGACACATGTCTGGATCACAACTAGGACTTCAAATTGAAGTCAATTTGATGAAACAAAGATCGATTTTCCCTCAGATCTGAGTTTGCGAAGTTCAATTTCCCCTTAGATTTGAACTCATGAAATTCGATTTTCGTTCTAGATCTGCATTCGAGATGCTTGATTTCAAGTTCTAACCAACAACTATGGTTTGAAATGAGCAAAATCTCAACTCTAACACTCATGATGAAGTTCGAATCAACTTAATCAAACTCGATTCCCTTGTTTAATTCCAATAGCGATTTGGTGCAAATGGCAAACGAGGAGTCCTGACACCAGAATCTGAACCAGATTCAACACCAATGTTGTTACGGCAGCAAATAGAGGATAAAATTAGGGCCTACGAACTAAATGAATATTTCATAAAATCGTTGGATGAAATAGGAACCAAAAGATCTGAGCTTGAAGCTCTGATACTAGATAATGCAATCCATAAGCAAATCAAGAATCAAGTTGATAGAGAGAACACAAATGCCCCAATTAGGGGTAAAACCATTAAGGGCTAGAGAGAGAAACCAAGCTCAACTCTATTCACAATGTATATTCTTTAATCAAAAGCCAAGTACAATGAGTTTTACATCACCTATTTATAGACTACAACTAATGGGCTATTTAACATATACTTAACCTATTTATTCTACTACATCACTAGGACAAGCCCTCGTTCAGAGAGAGAGATACAACACCAGTAAACAAGTCAGGGAAGGAGATGGATTTCTCAAAGCTTGATCCACTGAGAGAGGGGTTTTACGAACTCAATACTAGCAAGAGAGAGAACCAGACTTTCGACTCATAAAGGGACCTTCGCGAGAGACAAAGAGGCAGTCTTCGTGAACCAAAGCGAGAGAGATATTGCGTGTGCTCCAGAAGTCGAACCCAGATGTGTTGTCAAGACTCGCGATCACGTGTTCAGATAGAGACGAGGATCGCGAGTCCAGAAGGAGGCAATTCAGAGCAAGTCGTCGATGCACTGAGGAAAAAGGGTTGAGACTCACAAGACACAAGATTCCAAAGTTTCAATCATGCGAGGCGAGTCGAACACAGAGGTGCTTATTACGAACCAAATGGGTGAATTGCAAACTGTGATTCCGATACAATCACGACTTCTAAGAACACAGAGAGAATTAGAAGAGAACTCAACCGAAGAGGCTAGAATCGAAGTTGACAACGATGGCGCTAGGATTTCACATACGGCTCTGATACCATGTAAGATTCCTGAAAGCTTTTCTGTATACTCAATTGTACATAATACAAAGATTACAACCAATATTTATAGCAATCCTAAATCTAATCTATAAAAGAAAATAAAAAACATATTATTGCCTCTAGTTTTTTTTTTTTTTTTTTGCTAGCAGCTTACCAATTCTCCCCTTTCCATGCGCAGACTGTGAAATTTGCCATTCAGTGAGATTCATTAATTTATTCTTGTGATTGGAATGCAGCCAAAAAGAGATTTATTGAATCAAAAGTCCAGTTCTTGGATCAGCAGTATGTTAGCATTGACTCTTATCTCCAAGTTTTTGATTCGGCTAAAGAGAAAAGAGATGTGCAAAAAAGGTATTTGGTTTTGAATTTATTTCATGGAAGATGCACGATCTTGCAACTCATTTTAGCATCATCCGTTCATAACCGGTTCCTATTCACTTGTTTAATTTTTTTTGTCATGTTGCATGCAGCAAATACAACATTGCTGATGGTATGCGACAAATGTTTGATCCTTTTGAAAGAGTTGCCCGTGCTCATCATATTTGTCCTTGCTGTGAGCGCCCTTTCTCAGCTGAAGAGGAAGATGATTTTGTTAGAAAGGTTGATAACTTTCATTATTAGCTTGTTGCACAACTTTTTCATAGATGATTTAATGTTCCTCTTTCCATTGCCTCTTCTGGTTTTTCACTAATATTGATTCAGACTTACTTGTGTATCATCACAGCAAAGGGTGAAGGCTGCAAGTTCTGCAGAGCATATGAAAGTGTTGGCTGTGGAGTCCTCTAATGCTGATTCCTACTTCCAGCAGTTAGACAAGCTTCGTGTGGTATATGAAGAATATGCTAAAATTGGCAAGGAAACAATTCCTCTTGCAGAGAAAAAGATGAATGAACTAAATGAGGAGTTGGATCAAAAATCTCAGGCACTTGACGATGTAATTGTCAATTCTGGTCTTTTTTATTTTTTATTCATGGTTTTAGATATTATGGTTTTCACATGTTAAACTTGCTATGTTAAAGCTTTAACTGTTTTTAGATTTTTCATCACGTGTAAGGATTATAGTTTTTCACGTAGTTAAATAATGTACAGTAAGAAAATAAGAAGAAGAATGAAAGCGGAAGAAAAATGACAATATACGATTAATGACATAAATGAAAAACTTGGGTTCTTTCCCTTAGAAACATATTTTTATTAGAGTGGTCCAAAGTATATTACTACCCCACTGAACAAAGCATAGAACCATAACACACAGCACTTAATCCTAGTTTGTGCATATATCTCTCATACCCAATTTGTAAACAATGGAATGAAAAACTTACTATTAAGGTTTTTGGTACAAAAGGTATACAAATTTAACCCTTATTCAGCTTCTCCTTGGTCAATTGTTTGTCAATCTTCATACATTTGGTTTTACCATGCTAAACTAGGTTATGAGCAATAGTAATAGTAGCTTAACTATCACAATCCACAACTTAATAGTGTTACCACATATACTCTCATGTGTCCCCCTAAGGTTTGAAACCATATAAGCTGACAAGTACTATGAGACGTAACCCTATACCTTGCCTCTGCACTGGATCTAACCACCATTGATTGCTGTTGCTTCGTCGAGTAAACTGATTCCCCCAATAAAGGTATAGTTTGGTGAAGTAGACTTTCAACTAAACCTATCCAATCTGCATCAGTTAATGCCTCCAATCTCATGTCACCATAATTGGAACAAGATTTATTTTCCAGGACTTGACTTGAGATACCTCAAAAAATTATGTACTGTTTCTAGATACTCAGAATAAAGTTCATGCATAAACTGACTAGCCACCCCTACTACATAGACAATGTCTGACTGAGGGATAGATGTATGAGTTTTCTTATTAATCTCTGGAACCTCTCCTTTTCTACGTGATCACCCACATCACTATTTAAGTTGATAATTAGCCTCAATTAGAGACTCTGTTGGCTTACACTGCAAGATGCTTGGTGCACCAAGAAGATCAAGAATGCACTTTCTTGTAGAGATAAAGATGTCCTTATTTGATTTGGCAACTTCAATCCCGAGAACGTATCTCCAGGGACTTTAGTCTTTAATCTCAAATTCCTTAGCTAACCTTATCTTGAGTTGAGCCACTTCCTCCGTATCATTGTGTTTCCACTGTCATTCATATATATAACAATCTTACCATTGTTTCATTTGATAAACAATGTGATCTACATGGCTTTGCTTGTTTCCAAACTCAGGATAACCTTAAGGAACCAATCTAAACATGCTGTAGGAGATTATCGTAACCTGCCTTTATCAACCTAAAAACCTCCCCAAATCACCATGAAGAAATGCATTCTTCACATCCTACTTCTGTAAGGGCTAATTCAGATTGGCTGGCTGCACAGGAATTATAATTTATATTTGTCACAGGAGCAAAGGCTTCCAGATAGTTGCTGCCATATATATGAATTCCTTGTCAACAAGTCTTTCCTTGCATCTCTCAATTGTCTCAACTGTTTTTGGCAATTGCTGGTGGAGTTTGGTTGGGAAATCATATTTTAATGTGGTTCGATAAGGGGAAGGTAGAAACATGGCGGGTTTCACCGGTGAGTAGTCGTTAACTGAAAGTACGATGACATTGGTAATGGATGTTTGAGTAATCGATGTATTCATGCCTGTTTGATTGTGTTGGAATCCGAGTTGGAAACGTCACAACTGTTGTTTCAATTTCTACAGAGCAATCTTGACTTGGGATTTACAAAGAAAATTTAAATTAATAAATGGTAATTTTGGAAAGCAAAAGTGTAGAAAACAGTTGACATCTTTTGTTTTTTCTGGTAGTAGAGATTATATGCGTTATATTTATCATGTATATGTATATGTTATATTTGTATACATGTTATAAACATATATAATTTACTTAGTTTCATTTATTTTAAAATAAAATGATTCACTTAAGTTGGAAGATATACTTACCTAAGTTTATATAAAGGATGTAATGGCTAAATATTAAGCTTTTGTGCCAATTTAATTACAAAATGATTAATTTTTTTATCTTATAATACATTTTTATTTAATATAAGGATTTGTTGGGTGGGCTCAGGGTTGTATTACCAATTTAGGGCCAGGCTTGGGAGAGATTTGTAGGCCTAAAGTCAGGCCAAGCTTGGGCACAAGAGTTTTTTGATTTCTAAAATCACAAAGGGGCAGTGTACTTATATTTGAACCATAGGGGGGATAAAGTGCTCCAGTCTCAAACTACAATGGGATAAAGTGAATTTTGCCTTATTATTTATATTTTTAACACGTGTATAATTATCGAGTAGGAGGTGAGGGGTTCGAACACAAAATCTATTGCTTGGTCTGATTTGAATTTTGGCAAATGTAACCCAAAACTAATTGGGAATGTGTTGAGACTTTGGAGAGGCTTCTAGCCTATGTAAACCAAGCTCAGGTGACATACAGGACTGATTTGGGACATCACACCACACATGCAGTCTGTGTCACATGTGAAGGTGATTATGAGATGAACGAAACGACGTAACAGGCATGGGTTGGAAACTTGTCTTGCAAGATCACCTAAGATCCCACTCCGATACCAAGTTAAATCATTGACTCCCATCGCATTTTAAAGCTCAAGCTATTAGAGGTGTAACTTTATCATTTATATCCTCAACAAGTCCTTTCATGGGAGTTTTACTTTTCTAGAAAGTGCAATATAGCTTTTCCATCTTCAAGATGTCTATGTTTATATACAACTTGGATGACATTGCAATTTGGATATAACAGTTTCTTCAGTGGAACTCTTTCTTTAGCTTTCAGTTGGAGAAGATAATCTTTCAACTTCCCTTTGAACACAATCATTTTGAAAGGCAGCACTCCTAAGTTGTAGGATTTCTCTTGGATAGTGGCTTGTTTTTAGGTCAACATCAAAGGAATTTTATATTCTCGAACTTCTTCTGGATTACATTTTTCGGAGACGACTGCTTCTTTGGCCAATTAAAATGAACCTTAGTGACTGTTCTCTTGGAAAGTAGGCGCAAGGCGAGGCGCGAGCTTTTACTGAAGCAAGGCGCATAGTATTAGTAAAAAATAAATAAATTAACATAGACTAATGATTCATATTGTAATGTGTGATGTCATGAATTAATTATTTGTAATTTTTTTTTCTAACAGAGACTCAAAACAAAGACAATGACATAATTCCAAAAAATAATAATAATAATAAAAACACAAACACACACACAAGCATGGAAGAGAAGCCAAAAAAAAAATGAAAAAATCTAAGAAGAAGAAAAAGAAGACATGTGCTTGCTTATACAAATTGCTACTATTCTCATTTTTGCATTATTCCATATATGAAGCAAAAAAGAAAACAGAAAAGCAAGGAAAAAAAAGGACAGGGAAAAAAAAAACCAGCCCAGCAAATAGCGAAGAAGAAGAAGAAGAACTCTGCCCAGCAGGAAGAGAGAGAGAGAGAGAGACTGAGTCGAAGAAGCAGGAAAAAAAAGACAGAGAGCGAAGAAGAAGAAGAAGAAGAAGAAGAAGAAGAAGAGAGTCGAGACTCCAAGTCGAAGAAAAAAAAAAGAAAAAAGTGAATTGTTTTGTTTACATAAAGTAAATCTCATGCTCTAATTTATATAAATTATTGAAATTTCTTAATTTTAAACAATTAATAAAATCTCTATTGGTTAGCTTTTATTTAACTTTTATTTTACAATCTCACATCGGGAAAAAAAATTGAATTGTTTTACTTATATAAAGTGAATCTTATGCTCCCATTTATATAAGCAAAAGAATATTTTTATTGAGAAACCCTATAATCCGGAAAGAAAGGAGTATAGGCC